ATCATACAAAAAAAAATTATTTCTCTTTATCCACTCCCAAGTCTATCCTCTGAATCCACACACCCCACAAATATCTGCAGGTAGGCACATGTGTGTTTCTGCCATCCTTGCTATTGCCTTTCCATGCCTTATTCCAACTGTGCCATGTTTTCTTTTCAGTTGAACAGACATGGTAGAGGATTCATCCATTCTGTCCCTAATCAGGAGATGACACGAGGTGTGGGGGTGAAGGAGACACCACTGCCTCCTACCCCTGACAACCCCATCCCACAGTTTCCCCCTTTTGCATTATCACCACTCCTAAATCCCCATTTCTGATTTGTCAGAATTTTTAAAACAACATTAAAATGTAACACGTGTGTATCTGTGGTATCTGTAAGTGAGTGAATTTGGGGTGAGGTTATTTTCGGGCATGATCCCGGGTAAATTCCTGTAAGGGCTTGGGGCTTACGTACCACGCTATGGGGTCCAGTTCAATGGGTGGTCAATGTAGTTTTCTTTTCTTGTAGTGTCTTTGTCTGGTTTTGAGATCTTGGTAATGCTGCCCTCATAGATGAGTTAGGAAGTGTTTCCTCTTTTTCATTTTTTTGAAAGACTTTGAAAAGGATTGGTGTTTATTCTTCTTCAAACGTTTGTTAGGATTCACCAGTGAAGCCATCTATTCTAGGATTTTTCTTTGTTTTTGATTACTGATTCAATCTTCTTACTAGTTATGGGTCTATTCAGAGTTTATATTTCTTCATGATTCAGTCTTGGTAGGTTGTGTGTTTCTAAGAATTCGTCCATTTTATCTAGGTTTTCCAATTTCTTCGTATACAGTTGTTCATAGTATTTCTTATAATCCATTTTGATTCTGTAAAATTGGTAGTAATGATGCATTTTTTCTGGTTTTAGTAATTTGAGTCTTCTATCTTTTTTCCTTAGTCAAGCTAGCTAAAGGATTATCAATTTTAATGGATATTTCAAAGAATACCTTTTGGTTTCATTGATTTTCTTTATTGTTTTTCTATTCTCTATTTTATTTTTCTCTATGCTAATTTTTCTTTTTTTTTTTTTTAAGATTTTATTTATTTATTTTCCCCCCCAAAGCCCCAGTAGATAGTTGTGAGTCATAGCTGCACATCCTTCTAGTTGCTGCATGTGGGACGCGGCCTCAGCATGGCCAGAGAAGCAGAGCGTCGGTGCGAGCCCGGGATCCGAACCCGGGTCACCAGCAGTGGAGCGCGCTCACTTAACCACCAAGCCACGGGGCCGGCCCTATGCTAATTTTTCTTATTTCCTTCTTTCTGATAGCTTTGGGCTCAGTTTGCTCTTCTTTTTCTAGTTCCTTAAGATGTAAAGTTAGGTAGGAAATCTTTTTAAAATCTGTCCACTTCCATTCCTGCTGCAGTTTGAGTGCCTGCCCTGGCATAGAGCCCTGGGTATGTGCAAAGGGAGATCCTGGAATGTTCTTCCTTCAAATATCTCTAGAATGTTCTAGGCCAGTCAGGCCTCCAGATGACTGCAGCCTCAGCTCATGTCACATGGGGCAGAAGAGCTGCCCATTGAGCCAGTCAACTCTCACAATGAGAGAGAATAAAAAGGTTATTGTTTTATTTGGGGACTGTTTGTTGCCCAGCAATAGATAACAGACACACATACCATATAATTTACAACTATTATTATGTTTTTATTTATTGTTTGTCTTTCCTGTCAGACTATAAGCATCAAGAGAGCAGCTGTTTTGTTTGTTTTGATTAATTGATCATCAGGTCTGGAACAATGCCTGGTACAGAGCCACTCAGTAAATATTTGAGAGTGAATGAATAAATGCTGTGACCAGATTCTTTAAAGCTGAGTCTAGGGCTGAAAAAGGGGTGTTTATTGGTGTTTGGTTTTGGGGGTCTGCTGTGCTGTGTGTGTGTTTGGTACTTACCAATTGGTCCCAGCTTCCTGAGCCCCCAAAAAGCACTATTCATAGAGCTGCATGGCACTGAGGGTCCAGCCACCCAGGCACTGCCCATAGGCTGGGCAAACCACCAGCTGTCTCCTCCAACTCCTGAGTCTTTGAAGGGGACCCATCTGCCCAGCTCATAACCATGGCTCAGCTGCAGCATGTAGGGCCCTAGGGAACCCCCGTTTCCTGTGAACCCCTGATTTGGCTGGGATGGGACCAGTTTCAGAGGTTTCCCTTTGGCTTCTATCTCATGAGAGACCTTACTCCACAGACCAGGGAGGGACCCAATGTGGAGCTTACTCCAATTGCCAAGTATATCAATGCCAATTATGCACTCAGAGATTGGGGAAATAACAGGATAAATATATGGAACCAGGGGTCCCATTATGAGCCAAAATTTGTCCAGGACTCCATTTATTACCTGGCATCTGTAAGTCCCTACTGTAATGGGTGATGTGATGATGCTGTGGGCATCTAGATATCAATGTCAGCTCAAACCTGGTGTACAATATTCCTCAACGTTTCTGGCAATTTCTCTTTCCCCGGTATACAGTCACCTGAGTAAACGGCTGTATGTTCCTTTGCAGAAGAACTGAGGGCATTGTCCCACTACATACTTGCCATGGTGTTACAGGGTCCTTCCTTCTAGGGATTTGGATACTTCTTTAGTCAAAGAAGGTTGGAGGCCTTGGTCAAACACGTGTACTCCAGAGGGTGGAAGATAAACCCGCCAGAATCTGGGAGTGGCCACCTCAGTCCAGTTCTAGAGGTCCAGTGGTTAGGGGCATGCAGGGATATCCCCTCCAAAGTAAAAGACACACAGTTACGTCTTGCATCCCTCACTGCAAAGAAGGGGGCACACTGCCTGGTAGGCCTTTCTGGGTTCTGGCAGCAAGACGTTCCACACTTAGGTATATTGTTTGGCCCATATTCTAGGTGACATAGGATGTCAGCTTTGAGTGGGAACTGGATAGGAAATGACACTGCAGCAAATCCAGGCTATGTTGCAATAAGACACCATGAGTTCCTCCCATGGTGTTGGAGGTATCGGTGGTGGAAAAGATGCCATGTGGAGCTAAAGGCAAATACCAGTGGGAGAATTACATGCTGCTCCTTGGGATTCTGGAGTAAAGCCATGCCATCCACAGCAGAGAAATATGCTCCCGTTTAGAAGCAACTTTAGGTGTGTTACTGGGCCCTGATAAGACAGAATGCTTGACTATGGGACACACACCACCCATGTGATTAAAAATGACCATATGCACTGGGTTCTGGGTAACTCATTAAGTCACCAATTGGACAGGTCCACAGCAGTCCATAATAAGATGGGAATGGTACATCTGTGGTTAAGCCTGAATCACACGTTGACACTCATCAGAAACCATCTACCCCTGAAGAGGCACTGAGCAATGAAGCAGATAAATTGACCTTAGCCAGCCCTCATCATTGGTCAACCCAGGACTGGCGGATAGGCACCTGAATGGAGTGACCACGATGGCAGGAATGAGGTCTACATACAGGTCCAGCAGCACTGACTCCCACTTACCAAGGCTACTGCCACTGTTGAATGTCTAAATTGTCAAAAATAGAGACCAACACTGGGCCCCGATATAGCATTATCTCTTGAGTGACTAACTGGCCACTAAGTGACAAATTGATTGCTTTGAGCTCCTTCCATCCCAGGAGGGCCAGAAGTTCATCCCCACAGGGATAGACATCTATTCCATGTGTGAGTTTTCCTTTCCTGTTATCAGAACTTCAGCCAGCACCATGATCTGGGACCTATTAAAATGTCTGGTCCATGGTCTTGGAATTGCTCTTAGCAGAGTATCCAACCGGGGGACCCACCTTATAGTCAAGGAGGTGCAGGATGGGCCATGATCTTGGTATCCACTGGTCATATCCCAATCTGTACCATCCAGGGGCTGCTGGCCACATGGAACTCTGGGCAGGCCTTCTGAAGGAGTAACTAAAGCTCCAGTTTTGAGGAAATGCCCTGAAGGGATGGGGTTCCATCTCTCAGGATGTAGTGTTTTTATTGAATCACAGACCTCTATATGGTGCCATGTTCTCAATAGGAAGAGAAGATGGGTCCACAAACCAAGGGATGGAAGCAGGTGTGGCCCCACTTACCATTACTTCCAATCATCCATTGGGGAATTTTATGCTTCTCCTCCTGGCAACTCTGGGCTCTGCAGGGTTGGAGGTGCTGGTCCCCAAAAGGAAGGCACTCTTACAAGAAAATATGACAAGGGTCCATTGAACTACACCGCTACACATTATGGTTGCCACCAGGGAAGTTTGGACTCCATGTGCCCAGAGACCAGCAGGTGAAGAGAGGAGTCCCCTTTTCTCGAGGCAGGAGTAATCCACCCTGATCCGCAGGAGGGCATGGGGCTGTGTCACACGTGGAGGCAGGAGGAATATGTGTGGAACCCCAGTAATAGACTTGGGTGCCTCCCAGTTTCCCCTTCCCTGTAATTGTGACTGGACACATGCAGCAACCTTGCCTGAGAATGGCTGCTTGAGCTGCCATAACAAAATACCATAAGTTGGGTGACTTAACAGAAATTTATTTGCTCACAGTTTTGGAGGCTAGAAGTCCAAGGTCAAGGTGTCAGCAGAGTTAGTGTCTGGTGAGGCCTCTCTTCATGGGTTGCAGTGACCTTCTCTCTATGTCCTCACACACTCTTTCCTCTGTGAGCACAGGGGAATTGAGACAGAGTGAGAGAGAGAGAAAGAGAGAGGAAGTGCTAGCTCTGGTGTCTCCTCCTCTTCTGACAAAGATACCAGTCCTATCTAATTAGGGCCCCATCCTTATGACCTTATTTAGCCTTAATTACCTCTTTAAGGGCCCTATCTCCAAATACAGTCACATTAGGTGTTAGGGTTTCAACGTAAGAATTTGGGGGTGGATACAATCCAGTCCATAACAGAAGGGTTTGAGTTCCAAGGGCTCAGACCTGTCAGGTAGGAAGGTTTAGTCACAATCCCCAAGTAAGACACCAGGACCCCCACTCCTGTGCTCTGAAACCCATGGCAGCATTTGTGCAGAGACCTTGCTTCCCATGAGCTGTTCCCAGACAATGACTGGTCACAGCAGGGACACTAAAGCAGGCCATTCCTGGGACACATGGGACTCCTCTGATGGCCAGCTGTGGCTTGAGGATTCCCCTACAGCCTTACTCCATTCACTTAGATTGCCTGGTGATTGAGGACAGTCCAAGAAATCTTCTCTCCCGATCATCACTTGGGGTCGGACTTGCATCCCCGTGTGCTGCCTCGCCCAGCGTTTTCTGGCTCCCTCTCCATGTTCTCTGATAGGTGTTTCCCCTAAAAAAATACTGCTGAGTTTAATCCTATCTTGGCATCTGCTTCTTGGAGGACTCCGACTAACAAAATCTTTTCATCCATATACCAACGACCTACTACTTGTAGGTCCATCTTGTAAAATCCTCTCTCTATCCAACTTCTCCCACAGCATCTGGTCTATTTCACTTGTCTTTGTATTCTCTCTCAGTTAATAGGCGTTTGTTGTTCTAAGCCACTAAGTTTTAGTGTAATTTGTTACACAGCAGTAGATAGCTAATAAGGCTCTGTTGAGTTACTATTATTTTATAGGTATTGTCTACATCTCTTTTAGTTCCTTGAACCTTGAAAATGTTATCTATGCTCAATTCCAACTCCTCCTCTTTTTTCTTATATTTTTATTTTCTTTTGTCTTTTCTCCTTCCTTCCCTCCTTCCTTTATTCTTATTATTGGATATTTGTGGCTATGCTAAAAGGAAGTATTATCTGGATGTCTATGCTAAAAGTGTAAGGCCAACATATATGGAATAAAAGTAAAGTAAAGGAAGTAATTGAGAGTCTGAAAAAAATGCCTGGGTGATTCTGCAACTAAGGAAGTGACTTGCAACTCTTATTTCCTCCCCTTCAGCTGAGTTTATTTCAGTTTCAGAACAAACACGTAAGCAACATGAACACTTACACATTTCTGGTAGAAGTTTAAATTGGTACAAGCATTTTGGAAATCACATTAGCATTATCTTGTATGGTTATACTAAATACCCTATATAATCCAGCAGTCCTACTCCTGATCATACACTCTGGGGAATTTCTTGCCTATGTGTCCCAGGAGACATGTGCACTAATGTTTATAGCGAAAACTGGAATAAACCACAAATATGTCAATAGAAAAATAGCAAAATTTTATATATTCACAAAATATAAAACTTTAGCAGTAAAAATGAATGAGCAACAGCCTCACACATGAGGAATAATTCTCCTACAGGGAATGTTGAGTCACAAAAGAATACATGCAGTATTTCACTGTACATAAAGTTTAAAAACAGACAAAACTAAATAATTTTTGGTTTGGTGATATATACACTTACTGTAAAATCTTTAGAGAAACTCAAGGGAATAGTAAACACAAGTCTAGGATAGAGGTTACATCTGGAAGATGGGGTTGGCGAGGCACCGATGGTGGCTTCATAGGTTCTGCTTCTTACACCAGTAGAGGGTGCCCAGGTATTTACTTGGTCATAACTTCTTAAACTGACATTTTTCAAACTGAAGCTTGTGATGCGTTGCTGGCTAGTTGTTTTTTAAATGAAAGAGAAAAGAAATTACCAAAGTTCATGGCCACGATCCTTATCAAGGGCTACCACATTGGAGCAAAGCCACAGCCAATGTTATGAGCCATGTAAGAAAGAGGGCCAGGATACCATAAAAAATTAGTATTGGCTAGAAATGGGTCATGTGATCTTTTGCTCACTGGCATCTCTTTAGATTTTCCCGTATACAATGTTCAACCTGATGTGCAAGGCAATTCTATCTTGTGAAGGATTTGATGTGCTGCTTACATTTAACCTCAATGGACTAAATACATTTACAGAATTGGCAAAGTACATTGTTGATCAATATAAGTTAAACTGGAAAATTTTTAAAGAAATAACTAGTGATAGAACAGAAAATATGAATGGAAAACACAATAAAGATGCTTTAAAAAAAATTTAGAGGAACATAATAACAATACATTTTAGAGTCACACTGGGGTCCAAATCCTATCTACCAAACGTCATAGAAAAACACAGTGAAAGATGTTAAATTTATTGTAAGATGTCAACTGAATAGTCAGTGTTTGAAAAACTTTGTTCCTAGATTGAAATTACTATTTCTGCCTATTGCATCACACCAAAATTCTTGTCATGATGCTAAACCTGGTATAGAATGAGGTATGAGAATCACATTTTTCTAACTGAAAAGCAATCTGATTAGGTAAATATCTTGAAAGATGATGTTTGAGTGAGAAATTGGCATTTTAGCTAATATTTTTGGCATTCTTAACAAAGGAAACAAAACTTCGAAGCAAAAACAAAGATTAGTTTATAGGCATTATTGTTATGGCATGGAAGTCTTGGGACCATTTGATCTAGCTATTAAGTATATGTTCTCAACTTCGTTCAACTTGTTCTTTCTTATTGAAGAAATATTGTTCCTGCTTTGGCAGCACACATACTAAAATTGGAACATACAGAGAAGATTAGCACGGCCCCTGTGCAAAGACGACAAGCAAATTCATGAAGTATTGCTTATTTTTAAAAGAAAACAAAATGTTATTATTAAAGGCATTTGCAAGAAAAACTTAGAAATATTGTTGTAGCTCCTTTCTCTGGTCTCAAACTTATTATTAATCATTACTTTCCAAAAGATAAATTTAGGGCCGGCCCCGTGGCTTGGCGGTTAAGTGCACGCACTGTGCTGCCGGCGGCCCGGGTTCGGATCCCGGGTGCGCACCGACGCACCGCTCCTCTGGCCATGCTGGGGCCGCGTCCCACATACGGCAACTAGAAGGATGTGCAGCTATGACAGACAACTATCTGCTGGGGCTTTGGGGGAAAAATAAATAAATAAAAAATCTTTAAAAAAAAAAAAGATAAATTTAAAGCATTAAAAAAGAATCAGATAAAAGAAACATTTGACTTACAAAATCCTAAAACAATATTTAATTTTAATTTTTGTTTTAATCTGTATGTATATTCTTAGACACTCCTCTCTTCTAGAGGTGGAGTTTACTTCCCTCCTCTTGAGTGTGGGCTGCACTTAATGACGCACTGCTAACTGTTAGAGTAAGGCTGGTGGAATGGTGTGTGACTCTGGGTCTAGGACATAAAACACATTGCAGCTTCCATCTTGGTTGCTCTCTCTCTCTCTCTCAGATCATTTGCTCTGGGGGAAGCCAGCTGCTATGTCATAAGCAGCCCTATGGAAAGGTCCATGTGGCTAGAAACTGAGGCCCTCTTCCAACAGCCATATGAGTGAGCCATATTTCCTGGGAATCCCCCAGCTCCAGTCAAGCCATCAGATGATGCAGCCCTGGCTGATAACCTTGAGAGAGGCCCTGAGCCAGAAACACTCAGGTAAACCTCTCCTAGATTCTTGATCATCAGAAACTTGGAGATAATAAATGTTTGTTGCTTTGAGCAGCTAAGTTTTGAGTAATTTGTTATGCAGCAGTAGATAACTAATACAATGTCTAAGGAGGAAAACGAATTATTGCACTTTAATTTTCATTTGCTCTAAATTAACTATAAGATATTAAACATGTCATTTGGTTTTAGGACTTAAGGAGAATTTTCATGGCTAATACACAGGATGTATTTTATCACCATTTAAACAGTCTATTTACCTGAACTTCAATTTCCAACTGTGACCCAATTAAACAGAAAAGGAAGAACCAGGCCAAGCTAGCTTGATTCTGTGAAGGACCTCCAATAACCACCCCCTGGTTATTCACCTTCCCCTCAGTTAGTCAATCAAACATTAATGCAGGTGCTGCTGTGAAGGGATTTTGTAGTGTGGGGGAAGAGGGAGAATCTCCCTCTGCCCTTTCCCTTAAGGTTCTTATGGCTGGCCAAATAATTAAAAAGACAGGTAAGCAGGAGAAAATAATAGCAAGTTTAGTAACATGTATACATGGGAGAAACCAGGGACACTGCGTTTCTCAACACAATAGCAGAAATTCTCATCTCAAATACCATGTTCAGCTAAAGACAAAGGAGGATGTTGGGGGTGGAGAGGTGTCAGTTACAGGAGATTACCACTAAAGCACAGTAAACAAGAGTAAGGTTATTATGCAGATTTAAGGCCTCACCTTCCACATTGATAAGTTTCTAGAAATGAGGTCATCC